TAAAACGTTTGAATATCTCTTCTGGTGCATAAAATTTCCCCCTTTATTTCTGTGTGCTCTTCTTATTTTCCTTACCCACTGGCCATGGCAAATGTACTGACTGCTGGTTTGAGTGTATTCCCTAAGACACAAGATTATCTTTGCAGAATAAATAAGTCTTACCAAAATGAATTTTTTGTTTTTTTCAAAAATCAAATGTTTGAGTGGTGAAATTGAATTACACGTCTTCCTTATAAATTTATTGCAACTACGTGTTGAAAAACCTATTGCTACTGGAAAGGATTCTTTCAAAGTAAAGGACTCTTGTTATAAGAATATATGCTTTTCTGGACACATATGGCTTGAATAAATCATGTTTATTTTTAAGTAAAAATCGGGAAGATGAACATTCTATACCTTGAATATTCACCAATAAATTGACTTTCCTCTACAAAATTGGGAATTTCCACTGAGCAGTATGATTAAGCGGAATAAGAAAAATCATAAAATGTCCATCTGTTTTCCCTATCTTCCTGCCCTCAAAAGTCCTTCATCTCTTATCCTTATCTATCAGTGTCTTTAAACATCTGGGTCATTTTCAAGTCTTACGCTGTTATACTGTCGAGCCAACCAACCTACTGCCATTGATTCAGTTCCAACTCATAGCAACCCCTATGGGGTTTCCAAGGATGTAAAATTTTTACAGAAGTAGATTGCCTCATCTTCCTCCCATGAGCAGCTGAGTGGACTGAACCGCTGACTATCTGGTTAGCAGCTAAATGCTTTATACACTCTACCACCAGAGAGCCTTTGTGCTTACATGCCACTGACTAATTATGTAGCAACCTGTGCTTTTCCCCACCAAACTCTGACCAGAAAAATCCCCTCTAAATATTGGAAAAATATTCTGATAAACAGCCCAACTCAGCTAATCTGCTATGAGAGACAAATAAATAATAATTTGTCTTACTATGGTTTTCATCCAAGAGAAATATTATGTTCTATTACTGAACATATGATTCTTTATATAATAAAGGAGCAGTTCTTAACTTCATTTTAGTATTTATTGGTGAGAAAATTGAAGCCCCAACACACACACACACACACACACACACACATAGAACCATCAATTTGCCTGAAACGACACTGTTAAATTGTGGCAAAGCCAGATTCAGAATTCAAAACACAGCCCAGATATTCATCCCATGGTGTTTTCAAAAGTCTGTTTGGTTTTTCTTTTCCCCTTTTCCGTCAAAAATCACAAGATCAATACTTTTACACATAACAAAAAAGTAGTAAAACAGAGCATTCACATAATTCTAATACAGTCATATCTTTAAGTTATCCATGTATAATGCATACTTTCTAGACACATTTTCTGATGGCCTACATGAAACTGTGTAAGAGGCTCAGAGTAAGTAGCTTAAAAGATAAAACTACTGCAAGATTTTGGAATTCATTAGGAATAAAACAAATAATTTCACCAGTACCAGCCACTGGACACTTCAAAAACAGTCACTGCTTTGAAGACTAATTTAAAAAAAAAAAATTCTAAAATAATTTAGTTATTTAAAATAGAAATCCAGTGGTCCAGATATCAAAGTTACCTTAAAGAAAGCTGTGATTTGCATTTGGGCTCCAATAAAGTTAATTTACAAAATGACACTTTAATTAGTGGCCACTATTAATATTTCTATTAAAGTTCTGGGTGCACCAGGAGTAAGTATTTTTCTAATTCTACTTACTCTGATCTCCATAAAGTTAAATAAATAAATAACCTGAATTCTTAGGACATTACTACTAACAGACTTAACATGAGATGAAAACAGCATCATAATAAAAAAGTTTCCATTTTAACAAAGAAATACATGTCTCTATTCAATCATTGTGCCTGTAATCATTCTAAGTACTATTGATGTCAATGTGGGACACTAATAGGCTTGGTCCTGTCATCTGCCTTTCATGTGCCTATTTGTCTTTTATTGTTAAGACTCCTTCACTAAGCAGATCACATTTAGACAACAATATTCTACTAAAGACTGATAAAAAATTTGCTGTTATGACATATATATATATATATCACATGTCCATTCGTGTTTGACTTTCACTATTATGTTCCAACCACCTGCCTAGGGTATAGCCTCTAACCAGGTCATATATTGTTTTAGAAAAATATTGAAGGTGTGTAAGTTACTTTGGAAAATTTTTGGATTTTAAATACATATCTTATTACTCCTATTCATATATTTTTCAGAAATATAATAGTAAAAAAATGTTTCTGGATGCACCAAGAGCATCTATACAGTGTAAGAATAAAACATGCAGTCATCTGGTCCCCTAAAGAGAGTCTATAGTCTGTGTGCTGATTGAGGCAGCACAGAACATGATTATATCATTATTGCACATATTGCAAGTGTTCACCTTTCATCCAAATCTATGTTCAACTGATGAGAATTGCGGAATCTGGGAACCTAAAAGACTACTGTATATACAATGTTTGCTGAACACATGCTTTCCTGCTGACACAGCAGAGTGCATCCAGCACCACATCATGTCATGCACACAAAGAACAGAGGTGGCTAGAAAAGAATATATGATAACTGCACCATTGATAAACAATTGATACTTTTCCCCCTTCTTGACAACCTGGTGTAGTTCAAAACCATTATGCTTCTTTCCTATAAACAATAAATATTGGAGGTCGATTGGGTGATTAGAACACAACACATATTTGAATCATTAACATGCAAAGCCATGGACTGTGATTCAAAATTACCCTGCTATTTCATAGTCATTCTCATACAACTGCATACCAACTGGTAGGTGTTAAGCATGTGGCTAATGTAAAATTGACAATTTCTGTACTCAGATTAATTTGACCAATACTTCTTGTCTCATACACGGTTAAACAAATAGAAAAATACCCTGAAATTCAATAAATGTTGTAGAGGTCAAGAAAAAGGTGCCATCCTCACTATGAAGGCAACTAAATCCTAATTCCCAGTCTGATTCTTTACACTATAATTGCTTCATTTTCTCGTGCCTCTGGTAGGTAGATAGTTTAGCGTAGCATGGAGACGTGCTCCCCTGAAAACGTATTCATTATTTTTAATGGAAGTTATACACGCAAAGGAAGAGGAACGGAACCCACGGCACATATGTTCTGAGACTCTGAGTTTAAAGAGGCACATCTTATGGGCATGGGGGGACGAAGTTCAAATAGAAATTCTAAAATAGGAACTGTTTTATAAATTACTTCGCTTGCATTGCTTCAGTCTGATCATAATTACTTGTCTTCCAGTTCTGGGAGTTTCAGTAGGGAATGCTGGGTGATAGTCACAAAAACTCATAAAAATGGGTACAACAGACTCAAGTATCTTTTTAAATTTTACTTTCATTTTTTATATATTATCAACATATATGTACAGATGGTCCAGTAGCGTACAAATTACTGGTATAAATTTTCAGTTTGATGAAAACACTATCTGCTGCTCCACTAATAAATGCCATGCATGTGCCAATTAAAAATGCCTCTCTGATTAACTTCATAAAATGTACTTCAGGCAAAACAAATGAGTGAGTTCTTTGGGGCTCTTTCAAATGAGCATGCATTTTGTTCTGAATGTGTATCATTTAAGGGACTAGCTATATGCAACTTTTTGTGACTTTTTTTTTTTAAAGCTTATAATAGGCACTTTCTAAGAAGAGGATTTGCGACCCAAAAGACTATGAAATTCAGTCTTTAGTATCCCCCTTTCATAAGTGGCTCAACCTGAGCCATAGAAGGATCAACTCAGCAGAAGTCCAGCAATAGAACTGTGTGCAAAAAAGCTTTAGAAAATTGTAACCAGAATAAAATGATAGAAAAACACTTATCTGAATTGAGCAACTTAACATCTACTTGTTTCTTTTGTTATTGTTGTTTGTTTTTAATCACCTTTCATGTATTGTTTCTACCAAAATAATGTGTGAACAATTCCATACCTGTGTTTCATTCTTTCTAATGATAGATGTGCTAGAAACACTTATCTAGATCTTTACATTCTTTTTTATTTATATCATAAAATAGTTAAATGTTTTACGTGATTACTCAAATGCTTTGTTTGTTTCTTTACTAAGAGCCTTTCAACTTTACCTTAGAAAAAAGTTTGGAAACACAAATATAGAACAATCTCACCTTTAGAAAATCACTATCTCTAACATAAATTATTAAAAGGTTCTTATACCCTGTGGTGCAGTATTTCTATAGTAATATACACTGTATTAGTAGTTTAGTATTCATGGTGTTGTTAAAGTCAGCTTACAAGATGGCAGCTGTTCTCCAAGACGGAGGGAAGAGGAATTTCCTTACATAAGAGTTAATGATTACTATCTAAGTACAATGTTAAAAAAGGAGAGGTATAGTTGAGAGAAGAATGCAGTTCATGCACAAAACCCATAGCAATAAATTCTCAATATCCCACACTGCTATCTGGCTTAGGCAACAAAAGAGATCATTTAAATGGAGCAAACACTGCCGGCAGGGGGAAATAAGCTAACAGCAAGTTAAGAAAAATATCCTATGGAAAGGGATGGTACTAACAGTTTAAAATGTTGAACTCTTCCTTGGCATTAATCAATAATTTAAACTTAACAGTGAGAAAATGACAGTTTGATATACTTAGCCTGAGATCAAATTTGTCATGGCAACATTGGCAGGTTGGACCCTGATTCTTCAAATAGTACATTGCCTTGAATAACAAAAATCATCCTTTTTTTATTATAGAATAGAGATTATAAATAAACGTCAAGTGTGCATGCAGCCAACTGCATCATGTACAAGCAATACCTATTATTTTAATAATCTTCTTTGGCAGGCCAGAATCCAGCTGGACATGCAATATTTACATATCAAAATCCATATTGTGTTCATCATATTGAAAGCAAGTGAAAATATATATATATGTATAGACTGTATATACACATGTATGTATATAGATGTATATACTGTTTAAATATATTAACAAATATATTTGTATATATTAAAAGTGGATTTCATCTTTGTCAGATTCAGGTGACTCAGGCCTTGAAACACTAAAAATATCCTGGCATGGTATCTGGGGAGGTACTTGGAGTGGCATTTGGGATTTGGGAGAAGAGGTCTGGGGCACGCTTTTTTCTGAGAGTATTTTTAAAATTTCTGCCACCTGCTTTTCCAGGGCAGTCATTCTGCAGCTTAGCAGCTGGATGTCCTCTTTGAGTTCATGTTTGACTTCCTGCAGAGTGGTTTGTAAGGCCTGCTCAGGGATGGGATAAAAGGGGTGCTTGGCATCAGCCTGACTGGGACTGTGCTCGAGTGGACTTCGTGCCTCGCCAGCCTTATCCAAACGAAGGTCACTTTTTGTAATTCCACTGTCACAAGAATCTGTTTTCCTTAATGGGTTTTTGGTCACACTGTTTTCTGAATCACTACCCTTGGGGTCCTCTGACAATAGCCCCATGGACTCAGCTTTCATGACATTATTCCAGTCTTCCTTTTTCTCCTCATGGGCTCCCATATTATTCTTGAGTCTCAGCCACCCTTTTCCATTTCCGTTTTTCATTCTCATTGGGCTGTTGACTTTGAGACATTTTTGGTCAGCACCACCATTGGGCTTGAGTTCCATGGCATCACGGTTGTTTTGCTTGAGAGATTCGCTGGTTTTCACATAAGCCAGAGATGTCTGGATTGGTGTGATCTGTGACACAGTGACCACACTTGTGCCAGTGATGGAGGCTCCGTTCTGTAAGGAACGGCTTTCCACCTGGAGTTGATTCCGCTCAGGGTCACTCTGCGTGGATCCCTGATTCCGCAGCTCCTTCTGCTGCTTGAACTTCTGGAAGAGCTTTCTAACTGGGTGGTCCACAGGGATGCTGAGGGTTACCTCGTTCTTTTGCCTGAGACGCTCCTCCTCCTCCTTCTTCACATCACTGATCTTACGGAAAATGATCTGTAGAGGGGGGAAAGAGATCCAAATTGTGATTCTGAAAACAGATGATTTTATAATTGTGTGAGCTCTGGTAGCACATTGCCTAAGGCACTTGACTGCTAAACTGAAGGCTGGTGGGTCAAACCCACCAGCCACTCCTCGGAAGGAAGGCTGGGCAATCTACTTGCCTAGTGATACAGCCTGGGTAACCCAAGGAGGGGTCACTATGAGTTGGATCCGACTCGACGGCAAATAACAACAACAACAACATACCAAATATACCTTGTTTTACAGAGGAAAACCTTGAACATACTATAAGATCACTTCTGAAGGGACAGAAATATTCCAATGCCATTTAATCGATGCAATATACCTAAAACTTGACATAAGAACATTGATTAAACTTAGTTCTAAACAGTTGCCATCTAGTTGATTCTGACTAATGAAGATCCCACTTTTTCAGAGTAGAACTGCACTCCGCAGTGTTTTTAAGGCTGTGATATTTTGGAAGGAGATCATCAGGGCTTTCTTCCAAGGCACCTGTGGGTTGATTCAAGCTGCCAACCTTTTGGTTATCAGCCAAAAGAAATACATAGCACTTAACCATGTGTGCCAGTCAGGGCTCCTAAGCTAAATTCTACTCCCCTGTGTATCAAAGAGGAATGTACTTAAGACAACTGATAGAGGTATTTCAGATTTCTAGTTTATGTTGCTATTTAATGGGAAATATATAAGTATATGTGTATATACATGTATATGCATATGTATGTGTATATTTATGTACATGTGTGTGAGTAATTTTCCTTGTAATATATCAAATTTTTTTCTAGACATATTTCCCTTTTGTATATGTATATTTATGCAAAAGAGAAAAATGTCTAGGAAAAAAAGTGACATATTACAAGGAAGTTTACACACACATACACATATGAGCTCTGGTGCTGTAGTGGGTAAGGCACTTGACTGCTAAATGGAAGGTCAGTGTTT